ACCGTGGTGCAATGGTTTGAGTGCCTCAGTGATCCATGGGTTTTCTTTGAACCTTCAGAGCCACTCATACAACATCGGTCAATCGTTAGAGGCCAGACAAACTCAGCCTCCTGGTGCTCCAGGTTGGGGGTTGAAATGAGGATGCCTCCTTACTCCTTAAAATTCACTCCTTGTTGCCCAACGCAAAACCCGCTGCTTTGCGGTCAGGCTTTTGAACCAAAGGCTTTGGTTGAGAACCCTAATCATTCTCCTGTCTAGGCCTGGGCAACCAGACAGTATGCTGCCTACGCAATACAATGAATCGCACTTCAAACAAATTTCTGATGCTCTGGCCACCGTATAGAGTAATCAACGGTGCCCTATCTGCTGTATCGAGCAGGGTAGATAGGGGTTTGGATGCTACTGCTCAAGCCTTCCCGGCTTCTTATTCCCCCTCTTACGCTTTTTCTCTCTTACCGTCCCATTCCAGCTGCACTTTTAACCCCCAGTTTTCAACACCCCCCCAAATCTTGGCCCTCTCCCATGTTGCTTTGCTAGGCCTTCAATATCTAGTTTCAACTCACATGGGAAGGCGGAGCGTCATTTCTGCAATGTCGACAGGCCCAAGTCCAACCAAGCGGCCAAGCCCAGTTCATCGACTTGCATTTGGAGCCCTCGAGCCTCCTTCAGATTGGCATGCCACAATGTACGCACATTGCTACAGATCGGTCAACAGGCAGTACTTGCCCGAACACTAGAGACCCTCTACATCGATATCTGCTGCTTATCGGAGACCCGCCTGCAAGACTCCAGCTCCGTGCTCACTTTGCGATCATCTTCAAGTGACACCAGCAGCACGTTCTTATTGCACCTATCCGATGACGATGCAGCTTCGAGCAACGGCCAAGCAGGTGTTGGTATTGCCCTGAGTCCCAGGACTGAAGCTGCTTCGGTTGATTGAATTCCAAGCAGTAGCCGGTTGGGTGCGGTCCGACTGGATGGCTCGTTCAAAGCTTCGAGAGTCGCGCGGGACTAATAGGTGTCTATTCATCATCGCTGCCTATGTACCCATAAACTCTAGCGATAATTCGGTAGAAGATGACTTCTATCGCCAATTGAACGATCTTCTTCGCCACAGAGGTAGCTCGGACACTGTTGTGCTGGCTGGGGATCTAAAAACGCAAGTTGGAAAGTTAGACACTCATGAACTGCATCTGGGTGGCCGACATGGTGTAGGCTCCCGTAATGATAACGGTAGGCGGTTGCTTTATTTGTGTGAAGATGCTCGCTTGTTTCTTACGAGCACTAATTTCCTAAACAGCACTCGCCGGAGGGTGATTTGGCGCCCACCAGCCTCGAACCAGCTATGGACGCAAATCGATCCTATTGCGATAAGTTACCGATGGAGAGGCTGCATCCAGAACTGTCGCTCGATTTGGAGCACATGTGTGGACACCGATCATGCACTTGTATGTGCTGACATGCGGATGCGTTTTGGCGGACGCTCAAGACGACGTTGTGAGTGCATTGACACCAGCCAACTGGCGAAACCAGCGGTTCTGAATGCCTATCAAAGTACGCTGTCGTGCGAGTTAAGTAAGCACTCAATGGATGCAGATGAAGCTCACTGGTCTCATATTCACCAGTCCTTAGTAGCAGCAAGAAAATTCTTACGTGGTAAGTCTAACCGCCAACATGGACATTGGGTCTCTTCGCAGTCTCTGGAACTTATCGATACTCGCATGCATTTTCCGGCCGGAAACGAACACAATGAAACTCACAGAGCTCCGGGAAAATCTCCGTACCAGCCTAAAGAGAGACCGCGAATCCTGATGGTCTCATCTTGCATCGGAGATGGAAATGGCCACTGCCCTTGGTATTCCGGCTGATACGGGAAACGGGCAGCAGAAGACCTGGTGTTAGTGAAAGTTTACGTGACGAGAGTGGACAGTTTATCCACAAATAGTCAAAACGCTTAGAGCGTTGGGTTGAACACAATGAAAGGCAACTTAATCGGTCGGAATGGTTAGATTGCTCGCCGGCCACTGATCCCTCCGCTCCGTGGGCTGTCTCTCGATCCACCCTCTCGCTCAGAAGTCCAACGTGAGATCACACTGTTAAAGTTAAATAAAACTGCGGGACCAGATGATCTACCTCCAGCCCTCTTCGAACTCGGGGGACCTGCTCTTGTGGATGATTTACACAAGCTAGTAGTGAAACTGTGGTAGCAGGAAACTGTCGCAAACGACTGGAGCTGCTCCGTCATAGTCCAAATTTTCGAAAGAGGCTCACGATCGGAATGCGGCAGCCATAGAGGAATCAGTCTGATCTCCATCGCCTCCAAATTGCTTGCCCGTCATCCTTCGCAGACTGACTGTTACTTACGAAAATCAGATTCGTGAAGAGCAAGCCGAGTTTCGTCGAGGTCGTGGCTGCATTAACCACATCTTCACCTTGCGTCAGTTGTTGGAGCAGCGGCACATACATTAGCGGCCCAATTTTGTTGTGTTCCTCGATATCAAAGGTGCATTCGATTCGGTGGATAGATGTGCACTCTGAAACTGTCTACTCAGGAAAGGTGTACCTGAGAAATATGTGAATGTTATCCGATCAATATATGCGCGCAGCTCAGGCAGAATGATGGTTTATGGCAAGCTGTCGTCGCCCTTTAATATCTCCAGCGATGTGAGACAAGGATGCCCGTTGTCACTTTTCCTCTTCAACTACGCTATTGACGAAGTCATGGAGATTGCATATACAGGACATGAATTGGAAGGTGTGGAGCTACTCCCAGGAGAACGACTTCTTGACTTGGATTATGCTGACGATAGTGCCCTAATCTGTGTGTCAAGCCGCGCTGTACAGATTAGCACTCGCCATCAACCGCTTCGGTCTTTGCGTTGCACCCTCGAAGTGCAAAGCGTTCCTCCAAGATTGGTCTGGACCGCCACCTTCGCTGACCCTTGGTGGGGATCAGCTAGAAGTCGTTCAAAAATTCAACTACCTGGGAAATTGTACCAGCGCCCGCGGGATTGAAGAAGAGATCACGAATGATATAGCAAAAGCTCGAGGCGGTTTTGCTAACCTTCGCCATTTATGGCGCCGGCGCATCACTCTTGCCAGGAAGGGTAGAGAGTACAATGCAGCGGTACGTTCCACAATACTGTACGGTTGTAAAATCTGGCCCTTCAGATAAGCCGATATAAAGAGGCTAGTTACATTCGACCACCGGTGCCTTCGCAATTTAGTTCACATGTGGTGGGAACACCGAGTGAGCAACGAGCATGTTCAACACCTTGTTTACGATGCAGGAAAAGGAAGTGAACCGCTCAGCACCGTTATTTTACGCATTAGGCTCCGATGCCACGTCACTGTGTTACGCATGCCCGTCCACCGATTCCCGCGACGTGCGTTGTTTGCGCGCCGAGGGTGTGGATGGAAGAAGAGGAGATGTGGCCAATCGATGACTTGGTCGAGAGGAATGAAGGTCCTCACTTCGAAGCTGGCCTCAGTTGGAGCGTCTCGGCTCCCTGGTTTGCGTCAGAAAGACGAAGAACATGTTTGGCTGGATACACTTGTTGATATGGCTAGGAGCCGACCTCAGTGGCGTTCGTGCTGTGAGTTTCTTTGTCCCACCCATCCCTCTTAGGCTCCCCCTCCAAGCACAGTATTTAGCATTTTATAATTTTTCACAGTGAATTATTTTTTTCGTAGAATGCAGAAATCACGATTAAACTCCACACGAAAATCTGCCTCGACGGGGAATCGAACCCTGGTCCACGAATTTTCGGTCCGCTGCTCTACCACTGAGCTACCGAGGGCTGACGATTAGGTGCGGAATTTAACACGTGACTTCTGCTTGGTGCGCGACGTATTGCCAATGAGCTCACAGTAACTGTCCTGATGTTGCAGATCGGCTCACTCACTCGTCACTTCCCAGTGGACCGAAGTAACTATCCATCCGAAGTCCAAAGGGCGATGGTAGATTATTTGAAGGATGTTAGTGAGTAACGTAAGTTTCGTAGAAGGCAGAAATCACGATTAAATTCCACACGAAAATCTGCCTCCACGGGGAATCGAACCCCGGTCCACGAATTTCCGGTCCGCTTTAATCGTGATTTCTGCCTTCTACGAAACTTACGTTACTCACAAACATCCTTCAAATAATCTACCATCGCCCTTTGGACTTCGGATGGACAGTTACTTCGGTCCACTGGGAAGTGACGAGTGAGTGAGCCGATCTGCAACATCAGGACAGTTACTGTGAGCTCATTGGCAATACGTCGCGCACCAAGCAGAAGTCACGTGTTAAATTCCGCACATAATCGTCAGCCCTCGGTAGCTCAGTGGTAGAGCAGCGGACCGGAAATTCGTGGACCAGGGTTCGATTCCCCGTCGAGGCAGATTTTCGTGTGGAGTTTAATCGTGATTTCTGCCTTCTACGAAACTTACGTTACTCACAAACATCCTTCAAATAATTATTTTTTTCTGCTGCATAGCAGCTGGCTGGTAGGTTACCGGAACGATGCCCATCTGTTACCGGTAGCTCAGCCGGCTTGTACCCGTTGCATTTTATTCCCTTTTTTCTTTCAGGTATTGCGGCGCAGCAGCTGAGGTGTTTCCCACCTCTAGCTAACGTGTATAGTGTGTGTTGGTCCTGAGTTATTTCCTGAGTTATTTCCTGAGTAATGGCTGATTATGACACTGGACAATGAAAGCTGCAAGGAATCGGTCTCTCCAATGCCTCCCTATATTTGCAAGATAGCCAGCTGTTTGTGACGGGATGTTGTCGGCGCAAGATGTAGGCGCCTTGACCCTGAATGTTTGCCTAAGGCACTAAGATTTTATGCAAGGTCACCCTTTTGTCACTGCCATTATTTTTCAATCCGTAGGTCATTGTTTCTACCGTAGCGAAGTATTAGTTCGAATAGTTAATGTAGTGTAGTTATTGATACCGCAATAAACCGACTTAAAAGAACGATTTGGCACGCAAAGATACCATCAATCCTTGACTTGTGCATGTATCAGGAGGAAAAATACTGAAAAACGACTGACCGAGGAGGCAAACGATAAACACGCGATGATGGATAATTTGAGTCCATAGCATGGCGTTGTTAGAGCAAATGGGTTTATGGAAAAACGTGCAGTAAAGAAGCGTAACAAAAAAGCTAGATACTAAAACGATATAATACAAGCCGAAAGCTGGAAAAATATACATCACAAAATCAAGTCAGCACGAGAGAGCTCCAAATACATACAGTAGAAAAGACTTATCGCAGCCAAAGAGCACAATGGCAAGAGAACTAATAGCAATCTCGGTGAAATGTACATGTTGGTTTAATGGATGAAAGCACCTGGGTTTTAGGCGTCTCACTTGAAATGAATGGAAGAGCAATAATACAGTGTACAGAATCTAACCGCATAACATTTGAGATGAAATATCCCCTAGCTAGTAGAGCTCCAACAAGAAGTGGTAAGTCATAGTGATGATACCCCATGATGCTAGGGAACGAAGAAAATTGGCCGGCAAACCGCGATACAACCTACTTATATCTGGTCGGTCGCTATCATGGTAAAGAAGGGACGTGAATGTGTGGCGCAGGGTTTCAAAGTCACCACCGACGGTAGATTGCATTCGGGTCTTGATAACGTTGAGAGGAAAGGTGAAAATTCCGATGAAGCCACCAAGGAGAGCGCCGAAGGCAAAATTCAACAGGCTGCGTTCTATTGGCCCCCGATCAGCACCGCAACCATAGAGGTCACTGAGCCATTTGTGTCCACTAAAGTAGAGAGCGTTCGCTGATGTATTCCTCAGGATGACAGGAGTGACACCACGATAAAGCTCTCTCAATCCGTGAGAACACACTAAAGAATTTAGGGTGTGAAATGTGTTTCGGTACGAAGGGAAGCAATGACTATTTTGTAGTAGCGTTTGCACACGTTCAAGTGGCATCAAAGGAACCTCACACAACCCAGCAGACACAGAGGAGATCAGTTTGTTAAGGGTGGGTGACACGCTGACTGTGAGAGGGTGATGCGATAAGGTCCGCTCTGTGAGACTCTGAACACCAAACATGACAGCTCCGGATGAGCATCGTTGTAACAGAGGAGGTAATACGCCGCGGTACGCGAGATATGGACCTTCATGCCTCAGGCGAGCGAACGCTGCTGGCCATGAAACGCCATCCAGTTGCTGGAAGAAAATAGTCTTGTAACAGGGGAAAAGAGCGATAACACTGATGGAGTAAGCCAAACCACCAAACAAAAATTCGTGATGTTTCAGCTGCTCCACTTTTGAATGCGACTCCATAAAGCACGCAGACATGAACCGAGATGGCGTCCAAAGAAGTCACATTTTAAGCTAAAAATGATAAGAGATAATGGTTTAATGCAAGACAATGGGTTGCGATATTTCTACGAATTGCTTTAATTTTGTAAGTGAGTGTTGTGTATTCGTCCAGCATGCTTGGCGGCTAGTCTAAACAGACATGTGCACACAAACCCAGACATACACACATAAGTGCATATTTCTCTGCTTCCCTAATAGTTCATCCTTCTCATTACAACACCTTAATGTACTCACGTAGTCTGACACATCTCAGATTACATTAGTTTGTTTAGTAGAGCGAGATTCTTACTTCGGCTCGTGCATGTGACCTTTCGTATACAACAGTGAGCATAGCTGATATGTGCGCATAGGTGTCGGAGACAGAAAACATAGCGATAAACTATTAATGGCAGTGACACTAATCTGAGTGAAGGAGATGGAATGCTATATCGACCACAAATAATTCGCCAGACCAAAGAAAAAGTGACCATGTGATAGTCAAAGCAGGGATAGCTGTCAAAATGTCACCAGCAATATGCACCAGGGTGATAACGTCGGGTCAAAATTCAAGTGACGTAGAAGCCGGACAGTGGACAGACTTCAAGCAGTTCACGAGACACTACTTCTGTCTGTTGTGACGCAATTGAGATTCTAGAGACGCTTTCGTAGTCGAGCACTGCGTCCCACAAAATCACTGAGTAAAGCCTTGCTCTTGTTTGCGTTTACTGTTCATCTGCAACCACAAAGCTAGAGAAAAACCAAGGCGAGTGGATTAAATGCACCTCAGAACCGGAATCGCAGTTAAGGTAATTGTAGACGCGGTCGCAGGTGTGGAATAAACATTAACTTCTTCATGGTGGATACAATTACACGCCATCCGGTGGGAGAGTTGCTAGCGCAACAGGAATAGGTGGACTCGTCACTTGTAACTTCACATGCATTTGACGTACTTGCACACTTGCCATTCGTTTGTAGAACCACTGACACGTTGGTAGGTCGGACCCGTCGCAACGAGATTGGACCTTAACGTGGTGCAATGTCAGCAGATTGAATTATACTGCATGTGAAACTCGAGCCCCTTGAAAGCCATTTCTACCTATTGGTCAATGGTTCAGACGAACTCAGCCTTTTGGTCCTCCGAGTTACGGGTTGGAAATGCGATAGCGTCAATTGCTGTAAAACCGAATTGTTGTAACATCCGCTGTTTGTCATGCTATTGGTTTAGGACCCTAATAGTCTTTTTATCTTGGTTTGGACGCTCTGGCAGTTTATCAGCCCACGTATAACCATGACTATTTACTAAACTTCAATCATATCTTGTATCGGCCGTCGCGTAGCTTATCAAGAGTCGCCTTATCTGCTGCATATAACAGGGTTAATATGCGAAAACATGCTACTGCTGGTGTCTTCCTACTTTCGTTTCCACCTGTTTCTCTTACTCCTCTCCCCAACTTAATCAACACCAACCTCAATGTCAATGGAGTCAAAGCATCTGCAGCTATCATCTCGCGCCACACACTGGACGCCAATTGCCAACAACTTCTCAGCAGGCCACAGTGTTCGGTTTCCCTGAAGGCGTACAACATTTGCATTTTAAGACAAATAGGTCAGCAGGCTGCAATCGCACCCACATTAGACACGCTTGGTATTGACGTGCATTGTGTATCCGAAACTAAGAGCAATGATGCTCACGGGGTTGTATTGACTGCGTCCGACCTGTTCTCTCTCTATTGGTTGCATGCAGCCGAAGACGCTGATGCGGCAACCACTGGTCAATCTGAATTAGGCATCGTTCTCAGCTCCAAAGCTAAGTCAGTGCTGGTCGACTGGATTCCCGTGACCGGCCGTTTGTGTGCACCTGGTTTGATAACATCAAGTAAGATTGATCCGCGAAGTTGTACACGATTCTGTTTGTTTGTGGCTTCCATTTATGCCCCCATAGACTGCAGTTCTGATGTTGCCAAGGACACTTACCACGAACCAAACACGATACAATGCAGTGCTAACAGTCCAGACATCAGGGAATATAAATGCGTAAGTAGATCGTTTGAACCCTTCGGAAGTCCAGCTAAGTGGTAAGCATGAAACTAAATGCGATCGCAAGGACAACGGCGAGTCTGTTGCAACCGTGTACAGAGCACTGACTGTTAGAATCACCGATTTTAGACACTGTAAACACCGAAGTGCTACTTGGTGTCCACGTGTAGCTGACTAGCAACGGAAGCAAATAGATCACGTCGCGATAAATTACAGGGGACGTGGTTCCACTTCGGATAGTCTCTGGTTCTAAAATACCTGTGTCGAATCTGACCGTGTTTTGGTACTATGTTCTTTGTCATGTATTTTACCGGGAGAGGTGTTAAGCGCTTCAGCCGATTGGCAATTGAGAAGTTAATCCAGTCCTGAGTACCGAACTTCCGCTCGTTCGTTCTCTTAACACCGGGCACTATCAATCGTCTCTGTATCAATCACTGGATATCCCAGAACTCGGTGGACCTATTGGAATCGAGAACAAACCCCTCAGTTAGTTCTAAGCACAATGTAACTAGGTGGACTATTGGGCGGGAACAAAAGCGGCGTCTGCGTGTTGACAAGGAAGCCTGGTAGACTAGTAGTGCTCAAGAAACGAAGGAAGCAGGAGCAGTGCGCAACCGTCGCAAGCTCTCTCAACTGATCGGCATCATTGGTCCTGGAAAACCTGACGTCAGCGAGACAATCAGACAGCGCGGGTGCCAAGATGCACAATAAGGAGCACCGCATGGCTCGTTGGATACAGCGCTTTTAAGATCGCTCCAATTGTCACCTTGCTCCTGGACTTCATCCTACTCAGGTGGTGCAGGCTGAGCCGTGACTGATTATGCTATAGGCCCAGTAGAAGGATGAAGTCCGAAACGCGATCACATCCCTCAATCGTTTTCGTGATGCTGGCCCGGATTCCCTCGCACCTTCACTATCTAAGGATGATGAGGTTCTCTGTAAAGCACAGACCTCCAGGTTCGAATGAGTCTGGAAGGAAGAGACCAACCCGATTAACTAGAGTTAAACGATTACAGTGACACTATACAAGAATGGTAGTCGCAAAGTCTGTGCTAACCACAGGGGGTATTAGCCTAACACTGGTGGTGACAAAATTACTGGCGTCAAATCTTGTTCGTGGACTCACTGTGGAACGAAACGCTCCGGTTCCAGAATAGCAAGCAGGCTTCCGCCCTGGACTGGGCTATATAGACCACACAGTCACTCCGCGACAGGTGCCAAAGCAGTGCCACGTACCGCAGGCCGACAATAGCTGTTCCCCGATTTCAAGAGTGCGTTCGACTTAGTGGATCGATCCACTACATTCGTGATACTTATGCGGAAAAGTGTTCCCACGAATATGGGAACCGTATGACCTGCCCTGTACTCAAACAACACAGGCTGAGTCAAGGTCTAAAGTGACGTATCGAATATCGTCCCAAAAACAAGTAACTTTCGTCGTGGATGTCCAATGTACCCATTCTTGTGCAATTACGTCATGGACTCCAGCAAAGCGTGTTCCTTTGCGGAGCCTCAAGATGCAGCCATTGAGGAGCTGTCGGCTGGCTTGCCGAACAACCTCTTCGTGGTGCCAGCCGAGTGGTTCGGGATTTTCTTGTTCCAGCAAATGGTTCGGCGGCAGTGTTCCAGGACATGGTGGGTTTTCGCCTGGCAAGCGTTCTTCCTATAAAAAGCCACATATGTCCGTTTAACAACACTATGTCGTGGCGGACGTGACTCGCCACTAAATAAAATCTGCCCCTTGATTCATCCTGGCGAAGCATTGTATTTCAGCAACGTTGTGCTGTAGTTCTGGGGAGCATGGGCCCCTGTTTGACAAAGAAACAAACGAAAGGCGTATGAACTGCGCAATCAGTCACCGGCTCCCAATGGGCGCGATTCCCTGCATTCGCTCCGCTGACTTGCGGACAGGCTATTACGCCAAAGGCTCGGGGTTGTGTCCCTTAAGTCAACACCCCACTTCGGCTTGGGCAACCGGGTAGTATCTCGCCCTCTGACGAAACCGTGGACATTGTTGTGTTGTTTTCTTTTTCTATTTATGCACCTTTGTTTGAATGCCGTGGTTTCTGATGGCATTATGTCTATTCGTAGACCTTAGCATATATATATATATATATATATATATATATATATATATATATATATATATATATGAGGGGTTGTCGCGTGAAAAGTTAGTTACTCTTGATTAAGAGAGATTATATCGTTTTGATGTTTAATGATCTTGCAGTCGCACAACCAACCCTGAATAACCTCAGTAGAACGATCCCACTACTTGGCAAGCGTTTAGCGCCTTTAAAGTGTAAAGTGGTGGTAAAGGACCACCAGCCACTTGAGGAAATCTTGACTACTGATAGTGGGGAATTCGAGTCAGCTGATCAATTTACCTACCTTGGCAGCTGCATCAGTAACGACGGATGCAAAGACACTGAAGTCTGTTCAGGTATTGCAAAAGCAAGAAGTGCCTTATTGTATCTGCGACATCTGTGGCGCTAGAAATGAATTGCAATCGATCTGGAAGGCCGTGTTTATTAGGTCATAATGAGAGCCATCCTACTCTATGCCATTAGGACTTGGAGCCTCCAAGCTGAGGCGCATTCCAGTGGTTGAGCATCGCTGCCTGCGAAGCACTGCTGAAGTCGGATGATACTAACATGTCCAAGACGATGATGTGCGTATGCGAGTACTAGGCAGTGATAACCAGGCAAGTTTCTTAGAACAGGAGATAGCAATAAATATTTCCGTAGGCTTAGTCAGATAATACATATGCCCGGTCACATTTTACCGTGGAAGACCTTGTTTTGTTTGAGAGTAGTATGGTAGCGTACTTCGATACGGATTCAGAACAGCTGGCTTCGCCAGTTGGTTGGTGTCAATGCGCTCATAGTGTCTGTTAGATCTTCAGGTTATCCCGCTATTTCGAATTAAACACCCAAAAATTCTAGCTCAGCCGAAGAAAAATCAAAAGCCCAACGATCTTGACTGCGAAAAATGTG